AAACCCAACATATCAGTGTGTTATACACCATCGTCAGAATCCTATAGTAACAGTCTTATCATGTTATTCAACCCTTATATCAGTTTCTTCCTTGCAATGTATTTCTGTTCTAGCTGCCATTGTAGATGATAGGTTTATGAGTGTGAATGAACTGGTGAAATATAGCAATATGCCAGATCTGAAGACAGCCCAAGCTGGACTCGTTGCAGTTCTCAATGCAGCTGCTGTACAGTTGACGCAGAATCTGACACATCATCAGCAGACTTTGCTTGGACACTTACAGAAACATATTGAGCTGCAGCAGAAGATGTCAAATGAAGAAGAAGCATAGTCATGAACAAACTCATGTTTACTTCCTGAAGACATCTTTAATTGGCTCCCTGCTTACCCTTGCAGCTACATTGAAATGGCATAAAATCTTCGCTGTTGCAGTAGTTGTTTAATATAACTTTTTACCTTCTTTGCTGTATATAAAATAATAAAGAACATTCTTTATTAGAAGAGTTTTTCATTGTTTTGAAGAAATAAATGTATATATAAAAAAGACCTAGGCAATGCCCACCCAGCCTGGTCATGAGAGTTTTTATTGTGAAAAGTAATTGTAAATACAGAAAAGGCCTGGGCATGCACATGTGGCCCTGGTCATAGGAGACCACATCAGACCATAAGGCCGACATCTGTTGATGGCAAGATGAAATTCTAGCACACTCTAAGCTTAAACTTTATAGGGTCTTGGAGACATGATACAATTATGAAGAAAGTCGTCTTCTGGGTTTAGGTGCCGTGTNGGCACCTAAACCCAGAAGACGACTTTCTTCATAGTCATCGCCGTGAAAACCTCAAAACTTACATGATACAATTGTTTGTACAGAGTGTCTTGGAGATATTAGTTGACAGTGGGTTAATATGTTCTGTGTTCAATATGGTGAGGTTAGTTTTATGATGTACAGAAATATTACATGAGTAAAATCAGGCTCTCTATAGAGTAATCTGTATCGTCGAGCTTAGCAATGATAATGATTTAATGTAATTTATATAGTTAAATTAAAAAAAAAATTGCACCAAAACAGAATATTAACTTCCAGGTCTCTGTAAGCCGAAGTACCTGCTACACTTGATATACAGAGTCTTCTCAGTTTATTGTGTATTTCTCTAGCAGGTGTAGCAGCATCCATATTAAAGTGGGTGTTACTGAAGGTGATGGGGAGGGGCCGCAGTGGTTATATTCACAGAATGTGACAGAGGTACTGTGGTTATAATATAAAATTTATTCCACTTTAACTTTTCCTGCAACCAACAGCAGATGCATCAGAAGAATGTTTTTGCTGCTTGATGACGGTCTACATACAAGTATACCGATCATTGAAAAATTAAACATGTTAGAAGCTAAGTTTGTAGCATGCCTGTGTAGAACTTGATGTTTGTTTGCACTGTCTTCTGTTCTTTCTATAAATGAACATGTAATGGATATTAAGACTGCATTTGTCTGGTATATGTCACTGTGATGTGGTGGCCAGTGCTCTCACTGCCCAGAGAACCTTGTATCTGATACCCAGCGGATAAATCACATCTGCATGCTACATTTCTTTGAAAATACTTGATTTTTGGGATTGTGGAAGTCTACAATAAAAGTTCAGGCAAGTTTAACTTTGGTTTATCTCATTCCGGTATAACCCTTTCTTACATGAAGCCTCAGTTGAACTTGATCAGTTTTCCTAAAACTTGCTCTACAAAAAAAATTATGTACCTGTGGGAGCCACCTACATTTAATTAAACGCTAGCCAGTGAGTGTGGACCAGGGCAACTCCAGTGCCCATTGGTTTGCATGCTGCCTGGAGACAGCGTATATAAAGATGCGGACTTCTGACATACTAGCATCAGTCACAGCTACACTTACATCAAGACAGCATAACAAGACTGAGTCACAAAGGATCAGCATTGTCAGGCCTACTCCGTACAGCAGCAGCGAGTCTCCCTGCAGCAACACTGGCAGTTGACTAGCAGTCACCTAGATCTATCAGGAAGTTTACTGCCCAACAGCTGGCCCACTGTGACCTGAGCTTTGCCTGGCATCCATCAGATGCACCTGGTTTCAGACATACAGTCCTTTTCAGGGCCACAGCCTGACCAATTACCGAACACTCTGCATTAGAAATATGGCCCTTTTCAGGGCTCTCAGCACCTTACCGGTTACCGCACACTCTGCCTGTCTGCTCATCTGTATACTCTGTTTACATCAATAAATATGTGTTATAGAAATTTAACGTGATTGTCTCTCCACACTACTGAATTTGACATCCCACATTGCCATGTATTGTAAATCTGACTCAGAGCAGAACTTTTACTGGAAAGCTGTCTGATTTTGTGAACATTTAATGTAGTAGTACTTTGCTATTTTGCCAGCCTGTAAGTCAGAACACATCAGGAACCACTAACATGTAAGGAAGTTTAAGCTTATGCCTATGTTTTCTATATAAAATGGAAAATGTAGATGTAAGTATAATTTTCTTGTATTAGGATGGTACAAGACAACTGTGTACCTTAACATTACATTTAAAATTATATGAAAATGCTGCAGATGATACAAGTACTTGCTGTAGTTCCACATTACAGAGAAGGCACAGCATATACAGAATGACCATAAAGTTCAAATATATTTGGTCAAAAGCCATATAATTATTTCATAATTACATGTATCTACATCTGATGTCACTGTTATCTACCTTCATCTTAATATATGGTTGCTGTGGGAAAGAAAAGTACTTTTGCAATGTCATACTTAGTTTGGTGATTTGCGTGTCACAGAAATGTATGACAACTTGGTATATTCATATTCTTGTCAAAGAATTTGGAACATATGCATAAATGTATATACAAAAAAAAAGTGTCAATTTTTTTTCAGCATTTGGCTACATTTTGTGAAAAAGAAAAAGAGTGAGAGTTCAGAGTGATTTTTAGGACTGCCTTATTATTCCAGTTTAATAAGGAACTGTAAATGTATTGTAGAACACTACTTCTGTGTGGGAATCAACTACCAGTGAACATAAAATAAATTATAACAACCTGGGATTCAGTACAGAACTATTAGGCTTATTTTAGACTCTGTCCAAAATAAGCCTAATAGTTCTGTACAGCATACACCATCGTCAGACTCCATTCAAGTCTATCTGGGATTCACTATTATATACTGGTGGTATTACTGTATTTCTCAGTTTAAACTGCATGAATAATATCTTACACTTATCATTGTTAAACAGTGAATTATGTGAAAATCAAACAATGAATTGCATAGAAAATACTGTTATCTGGGATGTGACTTCATGTAGTCTGATAGAAATTTACTCTGCAAGCTTTGCTTGCTTGGCCTCCTTATTCTTCATTCCTGAAGATGGAGATAATATTTTCTCCAGGATATGAATAAATTTCTGCCAAACCACAGTATGTGAAATCCCAGAAGTTAGAACTCATATTCAGCACCATGAGAACCTCAAATTTTACAAATTAATTGTGTATTTTGTAGTATTCTTAAAATGCCCAAGAACAAATGAACAAATTCTAACCATTACCTCTCGCATCTTAACAGATGGAGCAACTGTGTTGTAACAGAACTGTTATAATAATACACAAGTATACTTCATTTTATATGGCAGTTTGATTCGTCCAAAATGTGTAAATGAAAGCCTTTTCCCTACATAAACTCAGTATTTAATCACTAGAGTTATGTTACTAAATGGTTATTTATCATCAGAATACTTGGTTATTGTCATTTTTTTAATTGTTTTAAGTGAAATAATATTGCAGTAACATAGCAAGAGCATTTAAGCCTATAAATATGTCATTAAATAATAAGTTTGCAATAAAAAATATCTTATTCTTCATTCTCACTCTGTGAGAAATCTATATGTGTTTTCTTATATACTGATTTTATATTGGGAGACTCCCATTAACAGATTTGTGGGTTGAATATGACAATAATTTGGATATTTTCCCTTTCTAATTAAAAATTTAAAGTATGCTATACTGCCATTGTCTTAAGTACATGAAGAATAATATATATGTTTTAATCATTTTTATAATTTAATGTATTAAACTACAGTATCTTTATACAAATCCTAAGTATTTCTGATTAATGTATCTTTTTTTCCATGTGGTGAAGGAAGGTCCAGTAAACCTAGCACACAAAATGTTTTCTAATAGTTCCATGTCCCATCCAAGGGATTATGTAAAGTGTAATTCATGTTGTGTGAAGCCAATTGTATGTAATGAAAGAATGTGTTTGCATATGCACTTCAATAGAGAGTACTGTCATATGAAATTGGTGCTTGTTCCAATGTCTTAAGGCTTATTGCTACTCTACTAATTCATTTTTCCTATCCATTCAAGGTTTGTACAATATGTGACTAGTCTGTCATTGCCTTCATGTTTACTAGACCTTGTGAACTTGATTAGGTTTCACAGTATAACTTACCAAATACAGATAAGTTGTACAGAGAAACCTCATGTGGGGGGAAAGGCACAAGTTAATCTTTCTACCTAGGTGTATAAGTAACATATTAGTTTACTAAAAGGAAAAGAAAAATTTATGCTTAAAACATGACTAGATATACTCATCCAGACAGACTTCACAGACAAATAACTATATGAAAATCAAGGAATTGCACACCATATATATATATATATATACACACACACACACACACACACAAGGTTTATAGTCAATGTAGGGATTCTGAACAAATAAAATAGTAATCTAAAAATTAAGAATTAGAGAATGATGAGGCTTAATAAGATCAAAGAATTTTGAAGGCTAGTCTACTTTAGGATTGGAGTTTCTGAATGTGTAAGAAAGTTAAAGGAACTTTTATCTGGTGTAATGTGCCCCATCTTTGCTGTGAAGTTTGTAGAGACAGTAGGTATGTTAGTAACCTGTTCATTGATTGAAGTTCTAAAAAATTACCTATGTTATAAGGAAACCCTTAAAATAATTATAACTTTCAGCTGAGATCTTTTAATTTAGGATATTTATTAGACTTTGTAATTCAGAGAGAAACAGGTACTACTTAGTACATGTAATCCTCATGCCATTTAACCAAGCAGGATGGTAGTACTCCAGAATTTTATTTTTGAGGGACTAGGTTTGAATCTCGGTCAGCTATTGGCCTGAAGTGTTTTGTGGTTTCAATCAGTCTCTCAGTGTAAATGCTGGACTAGTATCTTCAAAGCTCCAACCTTTGTAGTTGAGGCAGCACTGTTATGTAAACATTCAGCCAACTTCATGCAGTCTCACATGACAATTTTGTGGTTTCCTCATTTGCTCCAACAAAACCCCTAACCCTCAAAGAGTTCATGTCTCATGTTAGCTTCACTGATATTTGACAGTGCTAAGGATTACATCCAGCTGCGCTAAATTATAAAATCTTACAAATGCAGAATTTATAATCAGTTCTCTTATCTGTGTCAGCTTTAGTGAAAGTTTGGAATATGAAAGTAGGGACAGAATTGTTCCAGTCACTACTGTAATACAGTGGAGCACCCTAAATTTGGAAACGTCCAGAAACAGGCCATTTTGGATGGTAAAAGATTGTAGATTTTATTAGAGCTAGGAGTTCATTATAGGGACTGGTAAAAGCGTTTGAAAACAATATATACAACTGATTCTTGCAAGAAGTTTCAGGAGAGTGGCAGAATGGCACGATGGAAGTGTTGGAGATGTTCCAGCATTGCAGAATTCAGGCACATTTTAAATTTTCTGTGATTTGTTATGGATTGTAGAATCACATAAGGGGTTCTCTACTGCATTTATGTTTGGGCACTTGTGACCCGTATTACAGTAATGAGTGTGACAGATGGGCATAGTAAGAGGCCAAACAAGACTAGTTGATTTTCACCAGATTACCCTTATGTCTTCTGCCATTTAACCATTCCCATGCCATAGAGATAGAGAAGAAATCTTCATGGAGAAGTCCCTACTGTTTGAAAGTTCAGTTCCATTGGTTAATAAATTTAATACAAAGACACCTATTACCTAAAGTTAATGACTGAATCCAGACATGGAAGTGTAAGTGCTATTGATATAAGTACATTACCATAGGTAAAAAAGGTAAAGTTATCCTTGTAACAGGCTGAGAAGGCCCATAAGAATGTGAGACATCAAGGCTTCCACATTTTCTCTGGGCAGCTCACAGATGGCAGTAAGGTTGTAAGTCTTAAGCGCCGGTTGCCCTTTACCTCCCAGGAAGTTTCCTGGTACTAATTTCTGTTAGAGGCTGTGTCGACCCCAGGGTCATAGTGCAGCTAGAAGGATTAGGTAAATTGAAAGGTTCCACCTTATTGGGACACGTGACATTCCAGCTTGTAGCACCGTGCCTCAACCAACTATGCTACGATGTGCGTTACATATAATTTGAATTATTTACAAGCACACATTTTTCTACAGTTTTTTATAGTTAAAAAAATAATTGTTCATAATATACAGTGGACTCCCATTCATTGTGCCTTGATTTAAGGTTTCCCCTCATATTGTATTCAATTGCCTAAGCGAAAGTTAATAGTTAATGTTAAATTATCACTATTTATGAATTTCCTAAGTGCAGTGTTCAAATCCACTGCTCCTACAGATATCTAAAAGGGGGTTTCACTGTCATAACCATATTCAGGCATCTCAGAACTGACACACCAAAAATCAACTGAAGTGTTCCTTTTTGAGATCACAGCTTTCATGGAATTTAGGCATTTTAAATAAATATTAACATTGTGGATCACATTTACATTCTGTAGATGAGCCATATGGTTTGTTAGAGACAGTATGCATATTAATATTCTATAAAAATGGCTGAATAAAAAATCATGCAAACATCTTTGCATATTGGTAAAAAAAAGTCACAACTTTTATGTAATTTACTGAGCACAGCCATAACATATGAGGAAACCTCATATGTACAAGGCTCATATTTGTATGCAAAATTTCTACAGTTTTCTTTAGTTTCATTGCTAAGAGCTGTTGCTGTGCATCCACAAAAAGCCAGAGGTTAGAGAAAGCCACTTCTGTCAGATCCTTAACCATAATAACGATAAGCCAAGTTCTTAAGAAACTAGAGTGAAATAAAGATCATCCATTTTTCAAGGGCTACGAATATTAACAGCAGCAAGAACAAGAAAGCATTGAAGCCAGATGAAATAAGAAATGAGCACCTCAAAACCACTACTGAAGATCTAGTGGTCACCTGCACCTTGCTTTATAATAAATGCCTGGAACATGCAAACATTCCTGATGCTTCACACTACGCAACAGTGACGACAGTAGCATGAAAGGGCTAGGGAAAATTAGACAATCCTTATATTTATGTGGATGTAGCATTGCTGTTCCTTCCAATCAGAGTGCTCCAAAGTTGTCCTTAATTCCATATCATGCATAGTATACAATGCAAACCTGGACAGACATATCTTCATGCCAAGTAAATCATTCTTTCATGCTGTGAAACAGCTGCAAACTGAAATATGCAATGCCATCAGCTGACTGAAGGGCTGTGTATATGGGCTTTTGGAGAATGATGGAAAAGCTTTTGACAGATTGGACAGGAGAAAGCTGATGTAGAAATTCCAATCAGCACTGGGGAAACAATCCCATAGTACTTATTATTATGGATATCTTTGGATTTTTTTACTAATCACCCTACAGTATGCAGAATAGAAGAATATCATTTTTTTAAATTCTTTAAATTTTTGGTATTTTGGTATATTTGCTTCTGCTTCCTGTTTTGATTTTTTAAACAAGGGAGGGGGCAGATACCTGATTCCCCACCTTCTGGCACCAGTGACAGCAGTTTCACTGTATATTATATGGTCCAATATGTCATTTTCACTATCTGATTTTGTTCAGTACTTGAGATGTAGTGTCTCCAACGCTTCCTAAAGATGCTTCTGTTTCTGCCCAAGCTTCTTATGATTGCAGTTCACTGATGAAGGGCTGACAGACGAGTTAAAGCCTCAGCAGCGTCTAGTTCTTCCCTGTGGTGCTGTCCACCTGCCCAGTAGTTCCCTGCATCATTTGCTGAAATTTAAATATTTTTTTTGTAAATATAAATCTTACAGTAATATATCCTGTGGAGATATATTTGTTAGTACTAAATGAAAAATTGTTAACTAAAACAGAGACTGAACCCAGAATCTGTCGTCTGAAGGATAGCAGATCCTTTTACTCATATTTCTTAGATTTGATCCACGAGCTTGTAGTTGTTGTTGCGTGTATCAAATTGTTCTTGCCTGAATCCCATATTGGTTACACTACCACTGAGATCAATGTGACTTAATCTATATCATGATTTCAATTGGCATTGCTTTTAATTGGAAGGAAAGGAAAACTGATGAACCGATAATATAGAATCATTGTAGGTAATGGATTGGAAAGGATATGAAAGGGGACAGTTACAGTTTTAATCCTGTTGCTGTGATATTTGTTTGAAGTTGAACAAACAACCATTACTGTACAGTGTGACACTTAACTGCAGTCCATATCAAGAAATAATCATCTCCTTTTACTACATCAATCAACTTCATCCAGTATGTTATGAAAATGCATTTTTATTGCACGTTTTCCATATTTTTACCCCAAAATTGCGTTATCTCATGAAAATAATATATAGCAAAAAGGCTGAAGTACTATCCCAGCATGTACACAAAAGGACTGAGAAAATGTGAATAATTCGGGACAGAAGTTCTCCAGGCCAAGTTACAAATCCGGAATATTTCATGTGCTAACGTGCTAATAATTGAAGTGTGACATTCTGAGAGAGATAGAAGGAAATGTGAATAGGGTAACAATCACCAGGGTCAAATATTTCTTCTCACTGAGGAGTGCAAGAAGATTGAAATTTCTTTCAAAACTACTATTACCTTAGATCAAACCTGATTCTTCCTCCTGCCATAAATTTGGGAATAAGGTCCTCACTTGTTTTAAGAACACAGTGATATGGAATTCTTGCCACACATTTTGTGTATAAAAATGTTGAGTTAATCTAACAAGTTTTCAGCTGTTCAAACTAATTGTAAATTGTTTTAAATCATCTTTCACTCTTAGTTCAATATATATGAGAATTGTGGTTCAAATAGGTTTCAACTTTAACATTAACTTACCTGTTACATTCCACTGATGAGCCTTCTTCATTTCACAGGTACTTGATTGCCATGTAGCATTTTTGGTAGACCATGCAACGTAATTTTGCCCAGGCTTGAATTTGGCCGCACTTTCTAACCATTTTGACAATTCTAGAGGACGATTTTCTCCTTTTTTTTGTCGCTTAGATTTTCTAGCCAGATTCTCACAACCATTCTTCACATCACTTTCTATAACACTATTGTATCTTGCATTGACATCAGTTCTGTGTTTTCCAAAATCTACACTGTCACCTTCAACGTCTTTGTGGAATTTTTTTGCTTGCCATGATGACATTGTATCTCTCTGCATGATTGTGAGTTTTGATGATGGTTCATGGCAAACTTCTTGATCTGTCAAATAGTTTTGTATAACACAATTTTTATGTTTACTGCTGACACCAGAAGAAGTCTGGTCAGGAGGAACTACATGTCTTCTTCTTACTATGCTTGTCATTTCAGCCTGTTTAGTTGACGCTGTAAAATTGAAGCACTGTTCATTATGAGAGTTCTGAGATGTGTTTCTTGAATCTATGTTTTCTGTTGATACTGCATCAGATGAAGTTTGTGTGTTTTGATGATACAGAGCAGAATAGCTGTGATCCATAGCTGTGGCATTGATCATATTAGATAGAGGACTAACAGTTGATGCAACTCCGCTGATTTCGTTGTGCTCTAGAAAAGAACAAATATGGAAACCAGCTTTCATTTTACTTCTCTACTTGCCAGTCTTCATATTAAATCTTTTCCACAGTTTCACACTTTATAACAGTTTATTTGAAGAGGAGGGGGATGGTGGAGTGGTGTGAATTAGTTTATAGAACCAAAAATGTCTAATGGATAATGTGTTTTCTTCATATTCACATGTTTCATGTAACATTAGTACTTATGAATTTTGTATCTTGGAGCCCATCTGGAAGGTCAAAGGCAAATGATCTGCCTACTGGCAGCATTAGTAACACCTGCAACCAATGAATGCATCTTTCTGTTGGCTCACTGGATTACTATAATTTCACATGGCATCATTGTGATTTTATTCTGTAGTTGACAAATTTGAATGCAAGATGTCCTAGCACAGTGGCTTTACTTTCATTAAATCTTTCCAATATATTTGTGTATTAGGGACATACGTAGTAGAACATAGTTGCTTACCTGTATCAGAAATGTCATTTTCTTCCCAAATGCTGTCATCAGAACACAGGCTGAACTGCTCCACATTACCCTGAGCTTTTGTATTGTAGCTTTTGATCAGATTGCCCCATGTGTGGTGGGGAGCTTCACTTCCTGCATTCTTCAGTTTGCGACGCCAGTTTGCAAACCAGTTACATATCTGCAATATAGATTATTACTAGGTAGGATTTGAGGTTTGCTGGTCATGGTAGCCGAGAGGTCTGAGGCATGTACTGTCTTTGTTCGCTCGGAAGCCGGGATCATAGGTTCGAATCACACACAAAACATGGATGTTTGGTATTTGTATGTGTTTATTCTGTGTTTGTGTTGTCCTGTGTTTAGGCAGAGGCCCTGCAATGAGCGGATCACTCGTCCAAGGAGTCCTGCTGTCTGTAAAATGATCTTGAAACTGAAAATCAGAGGCAAGGGCCAAAGGGGGTTGTAGAGCCAATGAAAAAGGCTCTGAGACTCTCATAGCAGAGGAATATATCACCTTCACTTTTAGGGCTGAAGAGCAGGCCAAGCAAGAAATCAGCATGAAGCAGGCAGTAGGCCAATTATTAATTCCTGGAAATTGTTCACAATTATGTCATTAGGTGATGCCGAATAAACTGTGGGGGAACTTGGTGTAAAATTAGGCAAGACCTGCCATTTCTGAAGGGTTCTGACTGTGGTGTATTACGCACATGATTGCTGAGTTTCTGGACTTTGTGCCCAAGTCATTGTGTTCTTTTAGAATACAAGTCTCCGACATAATTGGTTCAGGTTACACGAATCAATAGATTCACATAAATACGAATTTTTATTAAAATATTTGGGATGCTTTAAATTCTAATATCATTAGTACTGAATATACATGGTTTATACATTATAATCTGGGCCCAGATTTTGATGACCTGAACATATTTAAAAAATGGCCTATAAAATGGAAAAAATCCAGAAAAATAACCTAAAATATGACCCAAAAATGTAATATGATATGTTAAGATGCATAAGTAAAATTGGAGGTTGTTCTTTTTGGAGGGGGAGATTAGTTGACGCCCCTTGTCAGCATCTAAACTGTATGACGTCGATCGTTAGTTAGTTATTGGAGAGGGTGGGTTTCCCCATGCACTTAGACGTGTATTGGTCCATTGTGCTTCCCTCTATGATTTCTACCAGTCTCTATATCCTACCGGTATTGGTACTTACCATCAGTCCCGCCCAGCCAGCGAGACCGGCTCTACTAGCTGAGAGGTATCTATAATGCTTCCCCCATCTACCAGAGGTATTAGAGACTGCTGTTGGGCGGGAAACGTCCGCAATTTGGCTCAGTGACCTCCTTTTGAAGATATGAGGTTCTTTTACGTGCCGTAAAGCTACGACACGGGACCCACGGCTTAAAGTCCCTCCCGGAGGACTTGTTCCCTGAATTTTTCCGCCCTTAAAAATTCGACGACCTCCGCCGGGTATTTGAACCCGCGTACTACGAGTCATGAGGTGGGAACGTTACCTCTAGACTACGGAGGCCGCTTGTATGACGTCGATGGTAATGCGATTGACGAATGATGAATTGGAAAGAATTTGGAAGGAAACTGTTGTGTCGTTATCGAGGTACTATCCCGGCATTTGCTTGGAAGGACTGAGGAAAACCACGAAGAACCTCAGTCAGTGTAGCCGGCATCCAGTCCTAGATTCGAACTGAGTGCCTCCCGGATACAAGACTTGAGTGTTACCGCTACACCAGCCTGCTGGTTATGGTCACTGAAGAATGCCGTGTAGTGTGGCAAAAGTCCACCCATATTTCGGAGGAAAATTCTGCCCCCCATCTTCAGGGATTAAAGGTAAACTAAGCAAGAATCAGGAGGCAAGCCGAGCGCTTAAGCTTCAACACTGAAGATGGAGACAATACGTTCCTCCGAAGTATCGGTGGACTTCTACCGGAATACATCACGTTAAATTCGAGAAGACAATAGTGTATTATGGTTTGACATCACATGTTTCGTTATTCGTTTCGTCATTTTAATTAAATTTTCTAGATTATTTCTTTAGTTAATCTTGCTCATTTGGCAGGTGTCGTTAGAAGAGTTTCCTTGGCCGTTTGTCCACTCGCTTGGTTAGCCATACCTGTATGTAGGTGAGCCCTGTCTGAACGGCCAACCCCTTCTTCTCGTCGCGGCTCGGGTACGGGTGATCCCTGCGCCGTACTAACCAACTTTTCAGGAAACGCTTTATCTCCGGTGTAAACAGACGCTTCGTGTGGCGATGGTCCTCGAAAGGTCGTCTTCATGGCACAAAACAAACCCATCTTATCAAGGATCAAGTTACAGCTAGACGAAAGATATTTATTTATTATTCGTAAGCGAGACGTTTATGAAGAAACGTGAATTAGAAACCAATTTTTTTTACAGATGAAGAAAGCCCCAGAATACTGTTACAGTAAGGCAGAAAGGAAAATTTGAATTTTTTGAAAAGTATAAAATAGATAACCCACACAATCCTTTTACTAAATTGAAATTCACTTGGGTAAATTATCATAAATATTTACTAATTTAAATTAAAACAAAATTTGGTTATATTAACATCGAAAGAAATGGGAACAAATGTAGGGGTTGAGGTTCTCACAGCTTTTGTTATGAAAAGTTCTATCTTGTGGGATATAACACTCTTCAGTCCGTTTCGGAGGAACATGTAGCTTCCATCTTCATGGCCGAAGCTCTGATTCTATCTGCTTCAAGGCGATTTCTTCTGTGACTTACTCTTCGACTCTAAACGCTGAGGCGACATGTACTTCCGAAATATTGGTTGATTTTCAACGGGCTACACGCGTTACATTCCAGAAGATAGGATTTTTAATGAACAAAATGTTTGGGTTTAAACGTTATTTTATATCTTAAAATACATATGTAACATATTTAATGTCAAATAACGCAAAATGAAGGCATTTCTTCCATATTCTGACTGTCAAAAGCGGTTACGTCCCTCGTCGGATAATTTTAATGGTAAAGCCGATGACTGAAATCTGTTTTAGGCATTTAAATATGAATATTTCAGATTTTTGAGTCAATAATTTTCTTCTAAAAGTAGTTTATTATGCAAAAAAATGTGCGTAACACAAAATATATTGAAATCCACAGATTTTAGTAAAAAACAGTTGAAATGTGGCGTATATTAAAGAAAATACAAATACAAATTACGTATTTCTCTTCACAGTGCTATCTTAAATGTAACAAGCTTTACAGTAACAGAATAGAGACTTAAATAACTCCAAATCACTTCCAATGAGATATAAAGAATTAAGGACACCAAATGATCACATATGTAGCTTCACAAAAATTAAATACACATTTTCATTCTTGTTTAGATCAATTTGATGCTTATTTCATGTGTTAAAAGACCGGTAAATTCAGGAAAAGTGGAGAGACACTAAAATAACACATGTTTCTAGCCACAGAGACAGAAAATCTGCGTGAAATATAGATTATATAGTTGGATCAAATTAAATTTTAACGCTAGAATATTTCTCCATAAGGATGGATAAAATAAAAATGAGGTATAAGAGATAAATAAATAGAACAATGCAAAATAAAGTCATACACAACTAACTAACTAACTAACTAACTAACTAACCAACTAGCTCCATGGAGCTGAGTACTCCTTGAGAAGCCGCCAGTCGCTGAGCTACTCAAGAATTTCCCAAAATTTTATGGAACCTGTAGGTTTATTACTATGTTCACAAGAGCCCTCCACTGGCTCCACTCCGCTGAGCCAGATAAATCCGGTCCATACTACATCATCTTGTCTCTCTAAGATCCATCTTGATATTATCCTCCCACATACTTCTTGGTCTTCCTTGTAGTCTCTTTCCCTCTGATTCTCCCACTGAAAACCTATACACATTCCTCTTCTCCCACACTCGTGCCACATGCCCAGCCCATCTCATCCTCCTTGACTTGATCACTCTAATTATACTTGGAGAAGGGTACAAGTTATGAAGCTCCTCATTATTCAGCTTTCTCCAACCTCCCTTCACTTCATCTCTTTTCGATCCAAATATTTTCCCCAGCACCCTGTTCTCAAACAGTGTTCCTCCCTTAATGTCAGAGACAAAGTTTCAAACCCTCACAGAACTACAGGCAAAATTATAGTTTTTATATTCTCGTTTTTACTTTTCTAGACAGCAGACGAGAAGGAAAAAACTGAATGGTAGCAAGCATTACTCAATTGGATCTCCTCTCAATTTCCTCCTGAAATCTAAACTAAAAGTTCGCAGCACGGCAAATTTCTATTTTTCCTTAACACATGCGAAATAGTCTGTTTTGTATCAATTCGGGTACGCTGATCACAAAAATGCCAGTAAAAAGTTTGTAACGTACAAGGTTTTTTAATCATATATTTCCTTCTTGTGCAAGACACTGGCTTATATATTATTTATTACATAATTTGAAATAACGATCTAATTAAATGATAACTAAAGTTTGTTCACAAACAAAACATTCTTTATCTCATATCGTGGTTGAATAACATTTTAAAATTAATAATGAAATAATAAAAAATAAAGAATTTTCAGTATTCAAGTTTATAGCTCAATACACAAAACTGGGATGTGATGGAGAATTCTTATCTCCCGATTTGGGGTCAGCTTATCGGATTTAACTGGTTTTCCTTTTCTTTATGTTTCTATAATCTTACTGATTAGCGTTGTACAGGACTACATAATGATGAACGAACAATGAACTCATGTCGAAAAGGAATTACATATAATACGGGAGGAATAAGAAATTTTGTAAACCAAAACTGGGATAAGACCAAAATATACTTTTAGCCCAGCTTTCATTTTATGAATGTATCACCGCTATCTGTGAGTCGGTTGTCTAGAAAATATGGGAGCCTCGACGTCTCATAACCCTATGGGCATCTGCAGCCTGTTACAGGGATATCTTTGCCTTTCTTTTACCTCTGTGGATAAGACAGATGGATGAATGAATGAATCCTGTATCGGCCTACCTGTATCGTCTATTCCTCAGAACCCTTCCTGCAAGATGCTTTCTTTCTTGCTTGCTGGTGCACATAAGTCTTGTGCTGGAATTTTCTTCCCAAACCTTTCTGGATTTCCCTCCCTCTTCTGTGTTGGCATCGTTAGTGTCAGTGTTCTGGCCCTTTTTCAATCTCTTGAACACGTTTATCTCCTTGTTATTCTTACAGCGATTATGTTGACGGTGGTGCTTGTGGTGGTGCCCGTGACGGCGGTGATGTTGGCGATGGTTTTGACATGAATTCGAATTTTCCGTTACCATATTTATAAAGAAGGCAAGAAATAAATCAAAGTCACTGTTTCTTTAACTTTATGATTTTTATCAGCAGTGCCAGCTTCTTACCGAAATCTCGGAAATTTAATATTCTTGAAAGGATGCTTAAGATCGTTGTTTGAATTGAACCACTTTCCATTCATGTTTCTTCAAGCGACCATGCCATTCTTCTTTAGGCCATGTCTCTCTTATGTTTTTCTTAGCCATAATAAAACTCCAGAACTGTAACTGACAGAGCCAGAAATTAGATTCCAGAAATGTGTTTTATGTATACTGGATATTTAAGAACACATTGACCTAGTTCCATAGCACAACGTCCAAATGAAGTAGGCTATAAAAAGCATATTTTCTGTCACCGCTAAGAATCACAGTAGGGGATCACTTCGCAAACAGGAATCACAGTAGGCTGTCATCGCATTTGTGTGTGTGTGTGTCTGTGTGTGTCTGTGTTCCGTGTTTTGAATTTAGCATCACTTGTAAGTAACCTACAAATTTAAATGTAAACTTTCCATACTAATTAAAATGCCTATGCATTACGGATTATTTTTCCGTAATCTTTAGGCGGAAGGAAATATCTTATACCGGTATGCTGAAAGATGAGTGTTTAATTTGAATATCATGAATTACATAGCGTCGCAAAAGTAATAGCCTACACCAAGGTTAAATATTAAAAGGAATGTAGCTTCAAAATGGCGGAGTGAAATATATGTTCTTCAGTAAAACGTGTTATCATGTTTTGAGCGCTTGGAATTCGAATAAACACAAACATTTTCAAATAAAATAGCTAATATATATTTTTAAATGAAATTTCGGTCTTTTTTAAAATGCAGACATTCTAAAAACTTCAAAACATTACTCGGTTTCTACCACTACCACCACACTTGTCTTGATGTCACATGATTTAAAGATGGCGTCTTGAATTTTTTTCTTTTATAGGAAGTCTTGTAAAATTAAACAACATTTTATAGGAAAGATGTGAAAAGTCTTAAGGTATCTTATTTAAAAATTGGTTTTATAATCCATCCTGAGATATTTAACTTACGTAATTCACATAATCACTTAGGAAAGATAACTTCGAAAACATTATTTTTTGTAGCATATAGTCGGATGATTCCATTTGGGAAATGTGAGATGGAAAGAAGCCAAACATTTCCAGCTTTATGTTTTGATGTTTTACGAAGTACGTAATTATAACAAGAAGACAATATATTCCAAACATTTTTACCAGTAAATTTAAAACGTGTTTTAGTTACAATTAACATTCTAGATTGCATAATTTGTGTGTTAGGTTTGAAATCATCAGATTTATATCAATACATTGTTTGACTTCAGAAATTAGAATATAATTCATAACACACTTATATTGTTTGACTTCAGAATTTAGAATATAATTTATAATCAATTTATCTTTATTATACATATTTTACTGTAAAACACTAATTAAATATAATTTACTTTACCAACTTTCTTAAAGTGTAATATATTTAATTTTTTATTTTATCGTTATTTACATAAAAATGACGTGAATTATGAGATAATAATTATGGATATCAAGCTCTGTCGTCTTACCTTAAGATCTGTATCACTCAAGATGGCGGGGGTGTGGCCTTCTTCTTGTTGTTGCCCGCTGTTAGTGATCTTGTGCAGTAGTCCCCAAACTGCAAAGATTGTACTCCACTCGTGAACTCGCTCGCTCGCTCGCTCTGAACCACCAGTTTATTTCGGGACTGTGGGCCTCCATTGGTGAGATCTCCCGCACTGTAACCAAAATCATCTTTTGCCTACTACATATTTATCACGTATTTAAAGCCGTAGAAAGATAAAAACGATAAAACAAAAGAATAAACCTTGGATGTACTGTCCGTGACCATAGCTAATAAATTTTACGCGCAGAAAGGTTGCAGTGGAAAACCTAAAATTAAATTGAACGTACGAAGGTACGTAGGTAAGATCATAAAGGCAGAATCGGTTATAGACTCGAAACTTCCATATTAGGCATCTGGATATTTCCTCTGCAAATTTGTGAGCTAAAGCCCTGTAGGAGTAAAACAAACAAGTTAGGACCTACGAGAGCTGTTCTTTGCATTTTCTCCCTCTTACGCCCCGTCAAGTCTCTTGCGTGTGGCGTTATATGGTAGAAGGAAAGGTAAAGTTATCCCTTTGCTTAATGAAGCACCAGACCATGAATAGACATGGCAGTAGACGTCGGCAGCAGATGGAGGTGAGTGGTCAGACTCAAGCCCCGGCCACTTCACCCCTGGTGAAATGGTCTCTGGTACCAATTGAATAGGAGGCTGGGTGGGTTGGACCCTGTGGAGAAGAGAATATATCTTACCCATGCCAGGAATCGAACCTCAGCAATCCAATCCTTAGCTCTTCGCTATACCGACTGGCCTATCCCAGCTTCGTGGTATCATAAATATATAGTTAAAGGTAAAGTTGTCCATGTGCTTAACTAATTAAGCACTACGCCATGAAGGCGTATGGAGAGTGGATGTATAGATCCACGTTTTCTTGACTTCGGCACTAGTGGGAGGTGAGTGGTGAGCTTCACGCCCCGGCCGCTTTACCCCCGAGGGAAGAGCCCCCGGTACTCGTTGTATAGGAGGTTGGGTGGATCCGAGAGTCCATCTGCATGACTTGGAGAAGAGAAAATTCTTGACCCTACCAGGACTTGAAGTCTGACCCCTCCGCCCTCCAGCCCGTAGCCAATCGCTATACCGACTGAGCTATTCCGGCTGCTATAAATATATAGTTAATAGTATAAAATAATAAATGATTAGATTTCCCGTCGAATTCTCAGCGGGTATTATACTAGAAACTTATGTTGAATTTGGTTTTGCTTCAATGCTCCTCAAATGGCGTTCTTCGCAAGAATTAGAGAAATTATTTCGTAACGATTCTTTTGTTAATTTCAGAAACACAACTGGATTTCGGTCGTTTAAAATGGCGACGGATGCAGGTGACACAGGCACATGTAAGGCAAAACTGCTTCTGTGCCTAGGGCGTGACCCACAGGGGGAGTTGACCTGAAGCTTGATGCATTTTAACTTCGGCATTAGATGTGTGATTATGTTCA